ATTTATATATATATATATATATATATATATATATATATATATATATATATATATATATATATATATATATATATATATAGAAATTTTATTTAATGCTTTTTAACTTTTAAAGTACAAATTTGTACTTTATATTAACATCAAATTATTGCTATTTTCAATTCCCGTGCATCGCACGGGTAAAATACTGGTTATATGTGATAGTTATAACACCAACAACAACAACAACAAGAATAATGATGATGATGATGATGATGATGATAATGTTAATAACAACAATTACAAATATAATAAGAATGATATGTAAAATACATTGAAATAATTTTTTGATGAGTACAATTTATTTAGCGTGAAGACTGATGATATGATGTACCTTTGGTGCCTACCACCACTTTCTCACATAATTTGTTTAAAATTTTTAATTAAAATTAATAGTTATAGAGATAGTCAAAATTTGCATTTGTTTAGAATATTTCTGACTCGAAAAAGTCAAACTAGACAAACACTCAAGACGAAAGTTGTATCACTACTTGAAAAATACTTTTACTCACAAATCAATTATGATGGGGTGTTAATTGTACATTTTTTATGACGGGAAAAAAATGTAGTTAAAATGAGTTACTTTTAGTTACAATTTGTTTTAGTTTTCTTTTTTTAATTTAATATACCCTTCGAATTAGGCAAAACTAAAACATATTCTAAAATGAAATACTCCGTATTAATTTCTCTAAAAAAAAATACAGCGGCTAAGACTTGAGGGTCATAGGGCTGGGTCGGGAAAACCGAAAACCGAAATCGATCGAAACGAGCTAGAAAAAAAACCGAACCGAAAAAACCGAAACCGAATGTAAAAAAACCGAACCGAACCGTTATTGTTTGGTTCCGTTTTGGTTTTTACTTTGAAAAACCGAACCGAACCGAATAAACCGAACTTATTTATATGCTTCATTTTATTTATATGAGTATATGTGATATGTATAAAAATCATATAAACAAAAATGCAAATAAATTACTAGTCAATTAAAGTTTTTTCTTAACTATTAATTAAATATTTTAACCATATTATAAACTTTAAAAAATCTAAGAATATAAACACCAATAACTAATCCTAATATAGAATTATATAATATTAAAAATTAAAATGAGTAGTTAACATATTTAAATAAAAAAACTTTGATGCTATAATGAAAATGAAAGTATTATATAAAAAAATCCAAATTCTCTGCAATTGATTTTACATACGATATCTTTAAGATTATTTAGAATCTTCTAGATGTTTGTTAGGCACTTGACACATATTTTGTATATAAAATTGAACCAATGAGAACACTAACCTTCCGCTCGACTTTTTTTGTGTGTAAAAATCAAGCAAAAAAACCAAACTCAAACTTACGTATTGTTATTGCTTCGTCGAGTTAGTATTTATACAATTTTTAATGCTTATAAATATTTACTTTTACAAACCGAAAAAACAAAAAAAAACCGAAGTAAAAACCGCATAAAACCGAACTGAATAACCAACGGTTTGCATATTTTTTATGCAAAACCGAACCGAACCGCCAACTTACACTTCATGTTTTGGATACAAACCGAACCCACTTTCCAGTGCTCCATCTGATCCACCACTCTTCCTCCTCGTTTTTTGCTTACTCTCGAATCTAGTTCTTAGGGAAACAACCCCTGTGAGTCAGCCAGGTAAAATATCTCTTTATTGACCATCTTCTCTGTAAAATTTCTTTCCCAAATCAGGTTAGAACTTTTAACTTTTTCCCTAGTAAGATGAGTTTGGATTAATTTTCTCACAAGGGTTTAATCAGCCAATCAACTTTCTGATTCAATAATCCATAATATTTTACTTTGTTTCTTGTGTGAATCCATTTTGTTTATAAAGTTTGGTGAAATTTGTTCATCAATTGGGTTTGAAGTTTGACTCTTTGGCACCATTGATGGCTATTCCTTAGGGATGAATGCTTTTCCTCTATTTGTTTTAGCAACCTAAATATACTTTGTATTTATAAAATTACTCGCTTTCCTTAAGATTTTTTTTTTTGCAGTTTTTCCTAGTGAATGATTTATTTTTAGTGTTATATGTTTTTCTGTAAAGTTTTTTTTTTGTATTTTTTCCTAGTGTTTTTGTAGTGTCACAACATAAGAACTTATACTCTATACATTTGCTTGCCTTTATGTTGTCTTGAAAAAGTTTTGTGAAAATTCAATCCAAAAAAGTCTCCATTAACCAATCAAACCAAAGTGATACTGGTATCTATAATGGGGACATTACAAGCAGCCATGAACAATTATGAATCTTTAGTTCTCCTCCTATTACTGCTTGGAATGTCTTCCAACATTCGGACACCTATTAAATTGTAATCTTGAAATGCCTCAAAGTCTGTGAAGTATAAAGAATTGTACATAAGGAACATATTATATATCATGAAAATCAACCTAATATCACTCCGCCAAAATGCAACTATTATTTATGTTTTTTAACCAAACTCATAATCTAAATTCAACAAATAGCAATCGTAGTACAATAACTTCCCCTCTATCAGACGACCACGCTTACTTAAGTTCATGATCAGATCTAGACCCCATTTAATATAATAAAAAAAATGGTATCTTCAGTGTTCATCTTTTTATTGTGGATGACTTTATTCCTTTCCATCCGTATTGTATAGCAGCAACACAATGGCCAATTAGCTAGAGTTTTGTCTCTCCTTGATTTTGATCTTCATAATAGCCTCTCCTACACCTTTAAAAGCAACTGCAGTAATCTGCACCTTCAAGTTCTCAAACACTAACTTGTAAACCTGTATAGCAAAGCAATACTTCCACAAAATATGATCCAAGTTTTCAAGAACATGTTGGTACATACAGCATTGAGTATATATCTTTAAAAATCTGCTTTGCATATCTTTAGTCTGCAATCTATTCTTCATAACAGACCAGCAATAATTTAGAACTTTAGTGTCGGGCACTGTGTTTATCTGTGTTTGCTTGGTGTACAAATGGGTACTCCATTTTGGTGTACCCCTAGCATGCCCCTTTCTTTATCACCTCAGTGCTGATTGTAATTTATGTTGGCACAAAGCATGGGTTTCGGGTTTGGCCGCTTTGCTAGCTCCATCACGCGCTGCCTTCCTTTCTTCAGTACTACTGTTCGATCTCCCCTCTCCTGCTATCCGGGGGGGCCTGGTGTCTTCGGACCCTTAGCTCAAATCCTCCGCAGGTTTTATTTTACTTTTTTTATTAAATATTTCAACTTCTTTGTATTTGTTTAAATGTCAATTACTATTTGTGAAATTTTGAATTTTGGTTAGAAGGGCGATCGATGGACGACGTGCTTATGATGCTAACAATTTTGGTGAACCATGCCCAGGTATTTTTCTGACTAATAAAATGAATTCTATGTTTATTATACTTCTGTTTGGATTTAAACTTTGGCCTTGATTTGTAGAAAATATACGTTGTATTTTGATAGAAGTACAAGAGTAAATTCTCAAAATTGTACTCAATAATTATGTGTTTTCCTAATTAATTCTAAAATTAATTAGGTAAAGGATAACTGCCTTGTATAAAGGTTTACACACAAGAAGCAAAATAGAGAGTAAAATAGAAATATATCTAAGGCTGCATCATTCTGGTTTAAAGATGCAAAGAAGAAATAGGTCTGATTCAAGCACTTTTTTTTATTGAAATGATTGATCAATTTTGATTTGTTCAAAATTGATTGTGATTCCATTTAAAAGTAGCGAAGAAGTATATTTATCAGAAATAGACAAGTCATTGATCGATTTGAAGTATGAATCCTAAACCCTAAACCAAAACAAAGGTGCATTGAACTGACTTAAACAATAACAATCCAATGATGCAGTGTTGAATTCTTCTAGCTCGGAATTGGCTGTATTTAATGCATGATATGGGCGGTGATGAAGTTAGTGGGTGGCGAGGAAGGTAGTGGGCAGAAACAGCGAGAAACTTAGAAGGCAGCAACAAAGTGAGAAGCACAGTAAACAAACAGTGGTGAACGGCAAAAGAGCTCACCTAACAGAGTCGTAACATCGTAGCCGCTTATATTAATATTAATAGGCTAAATGTAATGAATTAAAATTTAAAAAGTACTCCATACTATTCGTATACTTCTAACATATTACTTTTAATACTCCCTCCGTCCATTTATATTTTAAGAGATATAATTGCTCAAAAATTTTACTCGAAAAACCGGTTAGTTAAAAAAGAATGGAGTATGTTGTATAATTATCTTGATACATAATTGTTAAATTTAAATAAGCACACCTCTTTTGCAAAGAGTCATTTCAAAGATTAATTACAAAGCAAGAACAAAAGAATAGAGAAAAGCTCAGCTAGAAACCTCTTGTTAGCTGAGCTCACCTCATACTCATTTGTCTTCGGTTGGGTCGGTTAGATTTTCTCATTACAACAAGCAGGTCTAAAAAATCAATATATTGTTTCATTTTTTTAATATAGGTGACTATGGGCTACCTGATATCTACGTATCCACGTGACTCCCATTGTCATTTGAAACTCAAGAATTCAAATTTTGAAACTGAAATACAAGAATTGAAATGAAGTGCTAGTTTCCAAACACTACCATACTGTTTCCATTTTTTTTTTATTACAGGTGACTTTGGGCTACCTGATGATGTTCACGTATCTGAGACAAAATGTTCATCATGCTTAGAACTTTGGAAGGCAGACATCTGCCCTAAGCCTAAGACTGAGCATGACATTTTTGTCTATTTTCACACGATCAGTCAAAATGACCGTGAATATTTCGTTGCATATGATTCCCTTAAAGAGGATGGCCCCATCTCACCCAAGTATCGCATATATGCTCCCCCTTTTCCTCCGAAAAGTTACTCCTTCACTGGGTGTACCTGTGATGGTCTCCTTCATTTTCAGGATAGAAAGTCAGGTCATGTTCTTTGGAACCCAACAACGAGTGAGTATAAGATCCTTCCCAATCCCTTTCTGGAACTCCCTCCCGGCCTTGAACATTCGTCTGTAGCGAATGGGATGTGGTCCGACCCTAGATTTGAAAATTACAAACTGCTGCATCTTGTACGGTCTTGGTTCAAAGACGAACCAGGGATGCTCGCTAACGAGAGTTACCACCACATTCACTTGTATTCACTCAAAACCAATTCCTGGAGGAGAATACCATGCACTGAGTTTGTCTCTATTGAAAGGAATAATTGTACTTGCATATCTGGGGTTTTTTATGCTGCAGCATTTCAAAATGAGGCTTGTAGCGGTGTTATCCTTTCCTTCGACTTTTCTACAGAGACTTTGTCCACTTTACCCTTACCTAACCATAACTGCAACCGTTTTCTTCTTCTGGAGTATAAAGGGTTGTTAAGTGCTCTTGAATGCTGGGTTGATGATGATGATGATGAGTCGTTTGATCCACCTTGTGATTTTGAACTTTGGATCATGAGTGATGGATCGTGGACAAAAGAATCTATTTTCCATACTCGTTGTATTCCGGAGCCATCACATTTTTCTCCGGACGGGAAGCTATTGTATTTTGTAAGCTTTACTATTGGTTTTGATCTAGTGGCGTTTGATCGTGCCATTGGAAAGTTGAAGCATCTTGGTGTCAATAACCCCCTGAGTTATCCAATGATGATTCCGTTCGTTGAGAGCTTTGTTCAACTCAATGGAATTTCATGTATGCAGGAGGTAAAATCCATTTTGATTGTGTTATGCTTATTAGTGTGTGTGTGTGTATTTAAATGGATAATGGTTAGAATATATGGACGAGTAATGTGTATATTATATACTCCGTATGATATAACTTGAGCAGAGGTATGAGCACAAAAAAGAAGAAAAAGAAGAAATAGATGAAGATGTGACTGAAGCAGAAGGACCGCTGATTCTAGCATAGCTTGTTATCTTTAGTACTCGGGGTATATTATTTTTTTCAATATTGGGGTGGGNTCAATAATCAGTGCTTTCCTTTCAGAAAGAGACCTAGAAAGTGCCTTAATAAAGAACTTCAGTCCAAGTTTACCCTCACCAAATGGAACACAAATAGTGGATCGATTTCCATCAAGAACAGAAGTAATCTTCACAAAATTCCCAAAAAAATTTGAGTCCCAAGTGATATTAACTGAGTTTTTCCCCTCAAATCGAGTTAATGCCCAATCAGTTTGTTCCATAAGATGATGCTCCAGCGATTCAAGCATCCAAAAAGCCAATGGAGTAGAAACAGAAATAGTACGAAAATATCCTTTCCTGAGCTCTAAAATATGAAGGGAACCTGAATGATGAAAGTCATACCTTTTGCTTTCAAGATATATGGATAGTAATCCATGGGATTTGGAGAATGGACCAGCATAGGGATGAAATTTCCCAGCAGGTTCGTACCTCGTTCTGTATTTGGAATCCCAACGCTGCCTGAATTTCCTATTGTCCCTTCGGTGTCGCAGTCCCTGTTTATCGTCGAAGAAGCGTGATCCAATTGGGTTATTATGGTCTCTGAGGGAGCGATGAAGGGAGGGAGCCCATCCCTGAAAATTGTGATCTCGAGTCCAATAGAACCGATCTGAATGGTATCTCCAAGGCCGCCCGTCAGTGAATCGCCGATTTCCTTTTGTTAGTGGTAAAAACCTTTCCCTAGACTTTGATCGGAGATGATGACCAGGGCGACGGCGAAAATCACCCAAATGGCTAGAGAACCTCTCTCTCTCTAAACCCATCATTATATATATATATATATATATATATATATATATATATATATATATATATATATATATTCAAAGGATTTTTATTAAAGTGAACAAAGTTACAATACATTTGGGGAGGGCAAGACCTAGCCCCAAAGGTGTAAAGGAAGAAAGGAGGATAATGTGTTTAACGATTACAAACTGGTAAAATTAAACAAAGGATGCCAGCAGACGTCTTCCATTAAGCCAAAAGAAATCTCCTCTCCAGAGTGCATTGTTTTGATTTGGTCCCTTGATTAGCCATTTTTTCCTCCTATTTATCCAGTACCACCTTTGGATAAGAGAGGTTATAGTTTTGATCAAGCCATGAATGTTGTTTTGCCTATCTTCATGGAGGGCCGAGGTGTGATTCTTCCAAAGGGTCTATGCAATAAAACCGGGTACCACTGCACGTAGGTTACCTTCTAATCCTTTTCCCCTTGCTTTTGCCCACCATTGGAGTAGGTGATGTTGGATTGTACTGTTGGATGAGGGTAGTGGTCCATCTAATAGTAGTGCGTAGTATTTCCATAAATCCATGGTAGTGGGACAATGCAGAAGCGTGTGGTTACATCCATCTTCATTTCTCATGCATGCTAAACATATCCCTCGTACAGGGATAGAGAGAGTTCGTACATTAGGTGTGAAGGGGAGGGCATTGTGATGGACTTTCCAGAGGAAGAGCTTGATGTTTGGTGTCTGATATTTGTGCCAAATAAATTTGTTCTGTATCTGGGGTGGGACAGGTTGCAGGGTAGAGAGATAGGCTGCTTTCAGGGTGAAATCTTTGTCCATCCATTTCAGTGTGCCATCCGTCATGGTTGTGTGTTCAGTTGCCGTTGCATTTACTCTAAAGATCCTCTTCCAAACCGCAGAGTCTGGAAGCCTTTCCTTAAAGATGTTGCTTTTGAGGTATTTCCTGTGCATGAATGTTGCCCAAAGTCCTTGGTCAGATCTGATCTTTGCCCATAGTTTGTATGAGTACGCTTGCTGTATGTGGTGAAGAGCACGAATTCCTAAGCCCCCAAAATCTGTGGGGACACAAATCTCTTTCCAGCTGACCAGTGGTGCTTCC